AGAACAGGGGGAGAGAAGCTTTGGAAATTAGCAATGTATATAGAGACTTGGCAACAGCATTAATAGATGCAAAGGAAAATTACAAGAAGAAAGAAAATAACCTAAATGAAGTCAACTTGCAATATGAATATCAAAAGAGGACTAGTTTGGAAATGGAAATGCAGCACACTTGGAATTAATGTGGACCCATTCTAGGCCTGGCATGATTCATAAAGTGCCAACAGGCTGTACAATTTGCATCAGTATCTATGTTTCGATACAATTTTGTAACCAGGCTATTTAAATGATCTAATCCTTTTATGCATGCGTGTGGGAGCCTGGAGATGAGAAAGGGTAGGCAAGAGCTGGGTATCTGCAGGGCACGTCTCACATGCAACTTGTCAGGGCCAACTCCAGACTGAAAAAGCAACATCTCTGTTCAAACCCTGGCTTTGTCATTTTGATACACACATTCCGGCTGCAGATTCTCTGAGCAGACATTTCTGAATACAGGCAATGTAGTCTCCTCCCTTCCTCTCAGGATGCTTTAATTCAAAGCACATATATAGTTGTCAGTCCTGCTTTAAGTCATTGCAAGATGTAAAGCCTGATGCTATATCACAGAAGACAGAACGTGTGTGTTTGGAAGTTTGCATCTATATAGATGCATACATGTAACATCGGGAATCAGAAGCCTGATTGTTGCTTCACCTCCCTTAAACTTATGTGGAGTTAACTCTTGATTTGTACTGAACAGAGGCCAGTTGCTGAAGGCAAATATGTTGGAGGCAGTGCCCTCTTTTTGATCAACATGGGTATACAATGGTTACAAGAAGAAAATGTTACCACTTTGAATAATTGTGCTATGCAAGCTAGAAGGGGCTCCACACGGTGCTCATTCTGTCAGTATTGTAATGAAAATGTTGGTACATAATAAATAAAAATTCAGTATTCATACTGAAACGTCTTTTCCAAATAACAGCCTCCCCAAGAATATTCCTGAATGTGCTCAGAGTCTGTGCTTTCCCCAGGCAAGCAAGTAAATTTCAGGCCATAAAGCTGTGACACTGATGATGCTCTTGAACTTTCTTTTCTTTTTCTGAAGCCTATCATTCGGCTTGTTGCTTTTGGCCTTTTATTAGAGGCCTCATACTTCTAAAGAATGGAAAAAATATATTTTGTGTGTGTGTGTGTCTTTGTATGTTTAATTGTACCTTATGGGTATTTCTTCCATAATTTACACTTTATTACCTGTTTTTTGTTTGTTTGTTTTTGTTCTTGTTTTTTCCCCTCTACATCTTTCTCTGACTATGTGGTAAAATGTCATTTAATAATGTGCTATGTGGAAAGAGTTCTTCCTTTTACTTGTTTCAAACACACTTTTTGAGGATTTCATTTACTGCCTCTTTTCCTGTGTTGGGGCAGAAGTTGCATCTGGAGCATTTTCTTTAATACCCCTTGACATCCTTTAAAATTTCTTTAACATATTTTTACGTAGTTATTAATTCTTTTAATCTCAAGATACCTGAGCTTCTTTATAAAGGTTTTCATAGGTCTTATGTAAAAGACCTTGACATAAGTATTAACAATATTTAAAAGACACCAAGATGACCAGATTGTTTACGTAAGAAGAAACACAAAAGGCAGGTCAATGCTTCTCCACTAATTCAGATTCACTTGCATGCCAGCAAATCTAAGATATCCAATATAATATTTTTAAATGGATCACCTCAACTGCAAATACCCTCTTGGAGCACTTTTCAAGATCTGGTACCTTCTAGTTGTCTGACTTCTAAAACTGTTTGAATGGTAAGTTTACACTTTGGTTAGTTGACAAGCTATACAATATCTGACCTCTATAGGATCTTCTGGGTGGGCAGGACTTAGGCCAGTTGATTTCATTATTGATTTTATTTATGTGAGCTATTCTTTTTCTTCCAACCATTTGATGTGAGATAATTCCTCAGTCCTGATTTTTGTAAAGAAAGAGTGTGTGTGGACCTCTACAAACTCCTTGGTAGTGAACACTGCAACTAAGATTTTAGTTAGCACTTCTGCCGTGACCTTTGTGATCTTTTTGTTCCTTGATTATCTACCAGCTGTACAAAGCTCTTACGGCCTCAAAGTTCTTATGGCCTGAGAAAAGGTTTTATTAGTAATTTTAATACCTGTCTTTAACTAGATGTTCTTCAAAATCTTTGTTTATAGTTTTAAGCCTAATTTGTCTGGGTTTATGTTCTATGTAAGCTCCCTTGTTTGCACACAACTTCCACTTTTTGAAAAATGATTTTTAGCTTCACATAATGCCTTTTACTCCTTCTAACCCTGCCAGTTTATTTATAGTCCTCCAAGAATATTTTTTCTTTTTTTTTTTTTTACAATGAATATTTATTTATTCTAAATCTCTTAAGATGATGCTTCATATAAGGGCAAAATGTCAGTTTTCTAAAACCAAATCTCTAGAAGAAAAGAGATTTCAGAAGCCTTTACTGAAGCAAGATTCTGCCTGCAGCTTAAAAGACCTCCTGAGCCTCTGATATATTGATGCAACCACAACCATGGCTGCTCAGCTCCCTTGAAATCCCAGCTGAGGGCAGCTCTACTCACAGCTCCAGGAAGGGCACTTTGCAAGAGGTTTGCTTCATGAGAAGGCTGAGGAGCAGGACAGTGGTCCTGCAGCCCCTCTGCTCTCCTGCTGCAGTACCTGTCCTCTCCTGCCTATGTCCACTGTAGCAGAGACACTGTGCCTGGAGCAAGGGAGTTTTAGGGTCTCCCCTGGTGGATGGGCATATTCATCCACCAGTTCAAACTCCTGTGCTGGCTCACTGAAGATGGGTGAAGGGAGACAGCCTTTTTTTTACAACCATGCTGTAAAACCGTACTCTCCGTTGCTTCCTCAGATAGATGTATCCTTAGTAATTCTTGCACTAAAATTAAGGCGGTCAGAGTGATATGCAGCCCCAAGGCTGTAACAGTCCTGTGTTTTGCTTTTGTCTCATTTTGACTTTATTGATATCCTGTTCATTTCAGAAATTGTAGCTGTCAGGTGGAAAACATTAGGATCACAGGACAAGCAAGGATGTGGAACACTGAATTAATTCCCCTGCTTCTATGCACTACAGTAAAACATAATCTTCATAAATTTCTCAACTAGAATTCAAAAATATTAATCTACAATATTTTCTTCACTGGATCCTCACAATTTCATTAAAAGCTTCATTGGGATTTAATCTTTTATTGCATTCTATCAAAAATATCCAACATTATAAAGAAAGGCTTGGAATGAATATTATTAAAGTACACTAGGATTTTTTCCTAATCTTCCAGATGTCTAAAAATATAGAGACTGCACAGAGTTACATCACAAGTCTCTTAGCAAGGCTTTCAGATATAAAATCTGTTTTTCAAGTGACATTGATTTTGCTATAAAGAGGACGAAAATGAAACTAAATGAAAGAAATAGCAGTTTATAATGAAGAAAGGGAAAAGAATCCCTGTTGCGGTTCTAAGTGGACTGCTCCATGTCAAGGCATGCCCACAGCAGTCGATCTCAGCTGCCTTGAAAACAGCTTTCCATGACTGAATATCACTGAGGCAACTGATTTACTCCTTTGCAGAAAGGTTTCTTCTCTCAGTGCTGCAGTAGGAATATGCACATCCCTTAAGAACTTCTTACCTATAGTAACCATCTGTGGTGCGTCTGGGCCTGATCAGGTGTCTGAAAGGCCCTAGGCCAAACAACTCATGCCAAATCCAGCCTGTATGCAGCAGACACTGGCTGCAAAGGGAAAGGTGAGCAGCATCTTGGACTACCTCAGAAGTAAGTTCTACCACTGCATCAGTGTGAAGCAGTACACAGGTTCACATTAATATTAGCAAGCTAAATCCATTAGTACAGCATTTTGGCACTAATATCTGTAACGGGGGTGTGTACAACAGTTGGGTGTATTCTTCTTTCCTCATGCATCCTCAAGTAAATGATTTACCACAGGATAACATGAATTCCAGTTCCTGCAGCAAAAAATTGAGTTCCTGAGTGCAAATCAATCATATAAATACTGCCCTCATGGGCAAGTAACTGCAGTTTCCCCTTATCTGAATAAATCTTTCCTATAATCCAGAAAATGAAAAATATCTGACACTTATTTTAGTCATTTAACTAAAAATAGTAGTCATGAGGGTGTTTTTTGTTTTGTTTTGTTTTGAGAAATCAAACCAAATGCACAAATAATAAAATAAATGACAAATGGACTAATCATTAACAGTTATGTGTAGTATGTTATAAGGAAAAATATTTTGGAGTGTAGAGGCATGACTCCAAATTAGAGCTCTTTAAGAGGGATTTAGAAAGGTCTAACAAAAATGCAAGATGAACAACCAATTCTAAGACATGCACTGAGTTATTAGGTGTTTAAAGTTTCCACTGTAAATTGAATTACTATAATAATAAGGCGTAAAGAGTTGTGACAATGGACCCCAAGTGTGCTAACTCACACCAGAAAAATGCAAGTAGGGAGGGATTTTAGGTTCAGGAATACCAATTTTAGTTTTGAAATAAATAGAATTCTAAACTTTATATTGTCTTTATTTATTATCATAGATAATTATGATGAAAAGCTTGACCTACTTTGTAGGGTATCCACTGAAAAAGAAAAACCAAACAGGTGTGATACCCATCCTTAGCTGAATCTGTGCAGTTCTGAGAAATGGGTATGGATGGAAAACAACTCTGGGGTGTTGTCCATTTGGGACTTTGGGACTACTGGGGTTCCCTCATCATTTTGCTATGACTGGATCTAGGTAGATGACAGGATTAAGGCTCAGATAAATCTGTATCGTCTGTAATGAGATTTCAAAATAAAAAATGAAAAAGGATTTCCAGACGAATAGTCCAGAGCCCTTTGGTACAATGTACAAACTATGTCAAAATCAGCTCCTAAGATGTCGAGGTTATTTTAAAAGCCTTCAGAACCTGTGTGCATGAAACATTTTCCCGGTGGCCCCGGCTGCGGCGGAGCCTCCCCTTAACCCGAGTGTTTCCAGCGCCGCGCCACGGCGGGGCCCGGGACCGGCCCGGGACAGGAGCGGTGGGGCCGGGCGCGGGGGGACCGCGGCCACCACGAGCCCCGTCGCCTTACCGCGGCCACCGAGGGCCGCCCGCGGTCGCCACCAACTTCTCAGCGGCGGCGGCAGCAGCAGCGCAAGTTGGCAGCCGCCGGCTGCTCGCCTCGGGCAAGAGCGGGAGGGCGGCCCAAGCTCCTCTGCTGGCGAAGCCAAAAAAAAAAAAAAAAAAAAAGGAAAGAAAGAAAAGGGAAAAGGGAGGAGGAAGGCAGAGGAACGACAGAACGGCAGACAGACGGCGGCCGGCTCCAGGTAGGCGCCGTCCCCTCCCGCCGCCATCAGGGGCAGCGCGGGGAGACCGGGGGCTACTGGGGGCTATTGGGGGACGCTGGAGGCTACTGGGGGATGCTGGGGGCCGGGTTTTTGGTGTTTAGTGGTGTTTATGGGAGTGGTAATGCTCCGGGAGCGCCTCCGGGAGAGGCTGCGAAGAAGAGGCATCGCTGGGCTGCGTCTCGTCGGGGGGGAGCTGAGTTGAGGGGCTCCCGGGGCAGGCAGGCAAGCAGGGGTGCTCCGGCCGCAGTTCTTCGCCCTCCTCTCTCGGACTCTGCTCGGGCGGCCGAGTTAAGCAGCGCTAAGGACACGGGAAAGTAGCGAGTGGGAATAAGCGGCGTTATTCACATAGCCGCACTGCTCACTGATGTTAAAGTACATTTCTGACAAGTCAGGTCTGTGCTTCATGCTCTAAGTCGCACGGGCAAGAGAACGAAGCAACGTGGCTTTTAATTTGTTGATGCAAAAGACAGTCCTGGAAAATTAGTTAAAATACATCCTTGACTTTCATCTTTCTGTGATTGTAACAAAGTCCTTACGTGGACAGGATTTTGACCACTCACAAGACAGGAGTTTTTCTTTCTGTTTGCAACAGTGTTGTCAGTAAGGCAGGTTTTCTTAATTCAGTTCCTGTGGATGCTCTTCTCCATATATTAAAAAGTCCTTTGTGGGCTCTGAAGAGCAGGCAAGGGCTTTTAGGGAAGGAAGAAGTAGAAATATATTCCTGCAGCGATACCCAAAGTGCTGATGTACCCTACATCATGCTGTTTGGTTGGTACAGGTATACCAGATTCTTAAATGGTTGAGTTTTTGAAAGCAGTGAAACTTTTACAAGAAAATCTGAGCTGACTTTGTTGGCAGCATAGGGAGGAATTGTGAATGTGAAAATATATAGGGTGTGTTGACTTATCCATTGTAACTTAACCACTTTTTGTACCTAGCAAAAAAAACAAAAAACAAAACACATCAGAACAGAGACCTGAAAACATCTGAAATAAAGGCCATGACTCTTTGTTTACCTTTCCTCACTGAAGAAGTCATAAGGATGATGATGGTCTGGTGTTTTGGGTTTTGTTTTAGGTTTTAGCTTCAATCGCCAATATTCCCTTTGAAATGATAAATGTCTCTGTTACGATGTTTGTGAAATGTTACATTGTGGTTGATAAAAAATGCTTATATGGGGGTAAAATAAATTGGAATGTCACTAGGGATATCCAAATAACTTCTAAAAGCAATCACTTCACCATTAGAAAGTTTGGTTCCATAGGTGTTTTGAAATAAGTCCTGTTGGAATAGAGACCTGTCGGAATATGTCAAGACAGTAACAAATTTAAGCAAAGCAACAAAACATGCTTGGGAATGCTATGAAAATATCCACGGAGTTAAAAATCATGACAAATGTAAAAATATTAATGCAAATCATGAAATAGAAAATCTCTTAGTATATTGTTAATGTCTGGAAGAGCAAAATTGTTGCTTTGTGTCCATTTATTGATCTATTCTGTTCAAATAAGGTTTATTGATAGTATAACAATGAATGTTTTTAGTGCATCATTCAGAATGTACCTCTGTTCTTTTGTTTCTAAAACCTGGGATCAGTCTGTGAGGAATCATATGTGTACTTTACTTCATAAGCTAAAGATAGTTCTCCTGGGTAACTGTACACTCTCTGAACTCCTGCCAGGCCTTTTCCTGGACTTTATTGATTTCTTCTTCTGGTGAAGATGCTCCAGGACCTTGCTGACCTCTCTTTTGGGGAAAAGTGAGTCTTTGGGGGAGCAGTGAAGGAAATTTCTGTGCTCTCTCCATATCTTGAGCACCAAAGAGCCTTCATTCACTGCAATGTCTTCCTAGCATCTTCCTTGTTCTCAAACAGTTTTGTGAGCAGTTAAACAATTGAGGATTTAGAATTGAGCAATAGCTTACAGCAGCATGAATTATTAATGTAGTGCTTTTGATTTGACACTTGCTACTGTGTCATGTTGATTCAACTCTTATTTGAGTAATGTCAGGCAGTAAATTTTCTTCAGAAGATATGTAATGAAGTCATCGCCTTCTGGAGAACAAGGCAGCACACGTGAGTATCAAATGTGCCAGGAAGACAACAAGTCTAGCCATATCCCAAAGCTGCATTTGTCATTCAGAAGTCTGGGATTCTCAGAGCTTGCTGATGGCCTGATTTATTACACTGTTTGGCATCCAGGCTGGCCTCTCAGACCCATGGGTTTGTTTTGCTCCAGGACTAACTACCAGCATTGAAAGGAGAAAATTACAAAAATAAGTGAAAGTGATCTTTTCTGATAGAAGTATTTGAATGGTCAAATATCTGCTTTAGAATGAATGACTATTCTGGCATTATTTTTTTTATGGATATGGAGATATGGAGATCATCCAGATTTTCATTGCAACTTAAGAGTATTGCTTAGCAGAAATTCTAAGAAGTCAGGAATACTGATCTATTTGTGAAAAACTATAAAATCTGGCTTTTCATACATAAAATAATATATTGTATACTAAACTTGATAATTCTAGAGTTTTCTCAATTTGAGGTTTCTCTATGTTATTTCTTCCCTTCTGTCCTGAATATAGTTTTTGACCCGGTTTCCTACAGAGATGAAGCTGAAATAATAATGCTGTCCAACTGATAGCTCCTCTCATTGTCCACCAGAAACTCTTTTTTACCCCTGGGGATAAATTTCAACCAATATAAATAGAAGAGTAGAGATTTCAAAGTGATGACATTCTTACAAACCTCAAGTCTGCTGGTGACCAGGGAGATAAGAGAGATGATGTTGATGCCCCTACTGAGGGGAGAGCAGTAGCAAGCATTCAGCTTATTAGACATTAGAAAATTCATGTGGGTACTCCATAGGATGCTGAACATCCTAGCTTTTGCTACTCACAAGGTTGGTGATTATAGTTTTCAATTTCTCTGCTCCTTGGGAGTGCACAGTCTCTAGGAGGTTTTGATCATGCCTTTTCTCCTCCATAGTTGGTTCAAAATAAACTCTTAGCCTGCGATGTTTCTGGTAATGAGATATATGTAAGTGCTGCTGTTGTTCCTTGACTTTATAAACTGACCTGTTGCTTTCCTAACCCATAATTTAATACTTCTCAATGCAGGTCAATAGCTGACTGTGCAGTAATTTTCTTTTCTTATCTTGCCTCAGTGCAAACACTTGATTGCTGTGGTCACAATAAAATGTACTTTCTTCCAGTCAGTTTCTCTGAATTGCTTACAAGTTTTTGATTAGGTTGTAATTTGTTTCCTTCCGTCACTGCTGTTTCTTCTGCTTACAGCTGAATCCAAACTTTCTGTTCTGCTTTCTCTTCATAGCATGGTGTCATAACAATGTGTGTGTCATGACAAGAGGAGGATAACAGGATAATTATTAAAATGCATCATAAGTTTATCTAGCAGGGACTTATGTTCTGATATATAATTATAGTTAAGAGCTATATTTCTGCACAATTGCCCATTTTCTCCTTTATTGCCTTTCCAACATCAATACCGTCACAATACTTGCCTTTTGTCTCTCTTTTGTTACCTCTCTAGAAAATTCCTTTGGGTGCTTTTTTAGAAAGTTTTGATATAGTTGATTTGTTAGTCTTCTATTGTAAAAATCGTATCACCTGGACTTACTGCCTGTGCATGAACATACATAAAGTAAATCAACTGAGTAGAGCACTTAGTGGTGTCAATTTTTTGTCAAGTATTCATCTGCATTCAATGCAGGTGCACCAAGCTCTCCTTTACATATTTCAGAAAACATTTAAATATTATTAAAATCTGCATTCCACACTTGGTACAGAGCATCATGTTCATATAGTGATTAAATTTAACTCTATTCTACCAGCTTAGGAGGAAAGAGGCACATAAAAATACCTTTTTCTGTGGGAGCAAGAACGTATGCTGGTGTAACATCTTGCCCTACCCCATCTTCTCATACTTGCACGGAGACAAACAGCCTTATCTAAACCCTTTTCAAGGATCAGGATCTCCTGGCTCTTGCCTGGCCAAGCCACATGGCACTGCCTGCTCACCTCCTGAGGCAAGGCCAGGCACAACCACTCTATTCTGGTCTTGTCCCAGTTGGTTGAAGAGGCTTCTCCCACAGCTGCTTCTCACACCCACCCATCACCAGAAGTTGCTGCTCTCTCAGAAGCACAGGATGTAGCAGCATATGTAGGTGTTACCCGGTCTGTTTCAGTTAAACTGGATCTGGAGGATCTTAAAAAACCTTGCCAGTGAAAGTGCTTAACCTAAATCTCTTTGGCAGATCTGTTAGGGTGTGGAAACACCTGGGGTTATGTTGGCAGGTCTAGGAAGGAAGGGCAGTGACATCCTGCAGAGAAAGGGAAACATCCTGAGGGCACTGGCCTGGGTTTGGAGGCCAGGAAAGTGGGTTGTGGTGTGAAAGCCAGCAGCTGGGCTCAGAGCAGCCTTTTAGCTTGGTCAGCTGCAGCCAAAGCAGCTCAGCTGACTTCAGCCTAAAAAAAATCCCGCAGTGTCAGTGAGGGGAGGTGATGGTTCTGCTAAATTGGTTGTATTTCTGTTGCATGTAGGAAGATGTGTACCTTGAGCAATCTTTGAACGTGGAGCTGTGTCAGATGTACCCAGGCTAGGGTGTTTGGACAGGAGGTGTTGCAGCTAACTTGCCACAACACCATTATTGGTGAATATCTGCAGTAGAAGCTCTCCTGCATGTGCTTTCTTTGATACATAGCTTTCCTTGCTGATTTGAGAGATAATGGCAATTCTGTACTAGACTGTGCTGCAAGGATGCAGCTCTTAATTAAAAATCTACAATTTTGCTGTGCACTCCTTAGGAGGATCCCAGGAAAGCAATAACTAATCAGAAAGCATTTTTTTCTTTTTTATTTTTTCCTTCTGTAATCCGGATTAAGTAGTATTTGCTGTGTATGTAAAGTTAGCAACATGCTGTCTTCCTCTCTGTTTGCTTTCCCCTTCCTGTCCACAT